TTTCTTCCCGGCCTAGGCACCAGGGTTTCTGTTTATTTCCACAGCTGGCTCTATGGATTCCTATAGAACAAACTGCTGCACCCAGTCAGTGATAGTCACCAATGTGAACTGGGGTGAGTTATCATTAAAACTGAGGAGAATAGAAGAATGGAGTTTGGCCAACTTCTTTCAGCCTTCAGTGTGGGAACACATCCCAGACAGAAAGGAAATGGGAGCAGTACAGTGGCCACGTAGCATAGACCGTTGCTACTCAAACTGTGGTCCTCGGACCAGCAGCACGAGCACCACCTGGGAGCTTGTCAGAAATGCAGATGTTCATGCCCACTCCAGACCTACTGAATTTCTGCATTTTCATAAGGTCCCAGGTTGATTTGTGCGCATATTAAAGTCTGGGAAGTACTGGTATAGTGTTTAAGAGTTCAGGCTTCAGCATCAGACAGACTGGATTCAAGTCCCAGCAAATTATTTGTGACTTCGTGACCTGGGACAAGTTATCTATCTTCAATGAGCCTCATTTGCCTCATAATTACAATGGCAGAATGCTGATAGCTATCTCAATGCTGTTATGATGATTAGATAATGCACATGAAAGCACTTAGCAAAGTGCCTGACTTTGCTATACATTCTCAAAAAATGTAGTCTAATGATAATAATAGGACCCTCGAGGGTATAGTTTGAGCTCTGAGAGCACCTTCTTCAAAGAGGGTTTGTATGAGTTTCAGGTATTCTGTAATAGAAAGAAATTCAACCAGTTGAGTAACTGGCTGCCACAAAGCTCTAATTTGAAAAACTGGTAGCTGCACAAATTTTTGTTTCTTTTCCCTCAGAGAAACAGACTGGCCTCGGGGCCAGCAGTGGGCAGGGATGCTTTTTTCTTTCTAAGTTCTCTAAGTGCCAACTTCCTGCCTCAATGTTCATGAAGCACACAGGAGACCAGTGGGCTGGAGCAAAAGGAACCATGAAGAGCCTTGCCTTGCAGAGACAGGTCTGTGGTGACTGCAGAAACATTACAAAACTGAAACCTGCCCTGGCACCTGCAGGCTGGGCCTGCTGCAATGCCAGACAGAAGTGGGCCCTTTGTGGAGGAGACTTATTTTTTAGCGCATGGTTATGTGATTGGATAGAAATATATTAAAGCATTTAAGTTTTAAGTTTTCACAAAGAGATGCCAAGAGTTAATCAGTCGTGAGGTAGTGTAGTATCATAGGAAGGAGTCAGTCAACACATGCTTTGAGTGTCTGCAATCTGGGAGGCACAGGGGACACGAGAGAAACAGTCTCTGCCCTCATAGACTAGAGGGTAAATGGACTATTAAATAACTATTAAATAAACTAGTAAATAACTATTAAATCATTTTAACCATGTCACTGTTTGGAAATACATAATGCTATGTAAGGGCCAGCAGCATCCTGTTCACATACCTCTCCCCAAAAGAAAAGGAATGTACAGTTGTCCCTCAATATCCTCGGGGACCCCAGGTCTCCCATGGATACCAACATCCGTGGATGTTCAAGTCCCTGGAATAAAATGGCATAGTACTCGTATATAGCCTACACACATCCTCCAATACACTTTAAATCATCTCTAGATTACTTAATGCCTAATACGTTGTAAATGCTATGTAAATAGTTGTCATACTATATTTTTATATTTTTTATTTGATTTTTTAAAATATTTTCAATTTGCAATTGATTGAATCCACAGATGCTGAACCTGTGGATATGGAGGACATACTGTAATTTTTTTATTCTTCAGTTTATTATAAAATAGGCTTAGTGTTAGATGATTTTGCCCAACTGTAGTCTAACATAAGTGTTCTGACCATGTTTAAGATAGGCGAGGCTAAGCTATGATGTTTGGAAGATTAGATGCATTAAATGCATTTTCAACTTAAGATCTATATTTTTAACTTATGATGGGTATATTGCAACATAATTTCAAGGAGCATCGTATGACTATTTCAGGCATACTGTAATTTTAAAAAAAGGAAGATCCACATAATTCCCTTTATAATCTCATGGACTGTGTGCTGAGCCTTAAGGATTAGATATACAGCCCATCCATTGTGTTTGGGATGCCAGACACTAAAGACGCTGGCTGGCTGTCAGCAAGTCTCAAAGCTCACTTCCTTCTCATGGAGGATTTTGCCTAGTATGCAGTTAAGAGCATAAATTCTAAAGTCAGACTATCTGGAGTCAGCTGAAGGAATCCCTCCCACCTACTGTGTGATGTTAGGCAAGATACCTAATTTCTCTGGGCCTCAGTTTCCTCATCTGAAATACAGAGGTAATTGGAGAATAATGGCACTTGACAGATGGTGTTGCTGCCGGGATGCAATGAGATCATTGACGTACCCAGAACATAAGAAACACTATGTGAACATGAGCACTCATGATTATGAGAAACAGGTTCAGAGTTCCCCGAATGGTGTTAGTGAATGGATGACAAGTACTGGATGGAGCCTGGAATCTGGTTAAAGCAGTTTGCAGAGGCACATTAATAAGTAAATACAGCTACTTTACCATGACCACAGGAAGGAAAAACCCTAGACTAGCAGTTCAGGGGTCTGAGCTCTGATTCTGGCTTTTTACTGATTTAGGGGTGACATTAGTCAAATCAGCCCATCCCTCTGGGTTTCAATTATGCTGGGATTAGCTTCACATCAGTTTGGGACTGTGAAAATCTGATGAGGTCGCATAAATGAAATCGCTTGGGAAGGTAGGAAGAGCTTCATGAAAGTGAGCTCCTTTTATGAAGACCGCGCTCAAAGGCAGAGAGGATGGATCATGCACTTGTCCTTCCCAAGATTTCTTTTTTTTTTTTTGTCTTTTTTTGTGTCCGGCAACGGATCGCAACCCTCAGTGTCGCGCCTGTACCGGACTGGGACCGGCAACAGGATCACAACCCTCGGTGTTGCTCCCGCCCCTCACTCAGCCAGTGAGCGAACCGGTCTGTATGTGGGATCCGAACCCTCGGTGGGAGCGCCACCGCGCTCCCAAGCGGTGCACTGTAGCAGTGTGCCACCGGGCCGGCCCACCTTCCCAAGATTTCTGAAAATAATGTCACCACATGGCATAGATGACTCACTATCGCTAACAGGACAATGGAAGTAAATGCAGATTTGATGCAGTTTTACAAGCACTCTTCCTTTTGACAAGTAGACTTTCTCTGGAAGTTGTCTTCTTAAGATGATATGAATAAGTTGTGGTGTGTTGACTCTTGGAGAGCATCCTAAATGAACAGTGGAAATCTTGAAGTGTGTGGGCTCCACACTTGAGAAGTGTACCTGAATTTCTTCCCCTGAGGCTCTCACCTGTGCCGACAGCCCTAGGGAGGACCGAATGGGACTTCTGGAATCATTGCCCTCTGTCTTCAACCTGCACAAATCAATCAAGGTTCTCTCAGTCTATCTTTTTTCGACCATTGACTCTCTTCTAAACTTTATCCATGAACTCTGAACACTGATAGAAATGGTCTTATGTGGAACCTTCTTTGCAAATGGCTTTTGTCTTATCTAATTATTGAGAGTCAGTGTTTGTTGAGCTTTGGCTTCAAACAAAGCTGTGGTTAGAGCTCTAGAAGATACAACCTCAAGAAAAATTCGATATCTCTATCTTTGAGACTCTTACCTTATCTCTAGAGAGATTAAACAGACACAAGAAAGGTGAATTTTAAAGGTAGGTTAGGTCAAGAGGGTGGTGCGGAGGTAGACAGCACAGGACGCTGCTGCTACCGCTGCCCCCACCACCTCCACTGTGGTTCTGCATGTTTTCACCACCCAAAAGGAGCTTGACTGGCATCAGACTCTGGGAAGTTGGGGGGAGGAGGGTTATGATGGAGCCAGGACAAGAGAAAATACATACATGCATACATACATACGATATAGGTCAGTATGTAATGAATTCCAGAGAGGTGGTTCAAGTGGCAGCTTCTACAAAGATGTGAAAAATTGGAAGCCCTTGAGTCAGTTCCAGCCCATACGAGAGAGAGAGGAAGGAAGGAAGGGAGGGAGGGAGGGAGGGAGGGAGGAAGGAAGGAAGGAAGGAAGGAAGGAAGGAAGGGAGGAAGGAAGGAGGGAGGGAGGGAAGGAAGAGAGGGAGGGAGGGGTCATGCGTCATCTCTGCTTTGTCTTGAAAATCAGGAGATCTGGCAAACTGAAGCAGCATTGGAGTATTCACTAGTCAGGGCAGCCGCCACCCTTTAGACAGGGTAGGACTTGCCAGACCTCACGGCTCCCACCATCCCATAAAGTCCTCAGCTGTACTGTGGCCCACTTCCCTCATTCATCTCATATTATTACTCCCATGGACATTCTGAATTCAAGATCCTGCCACTGTGGCTCAGAAGCAAGAGGATTCACTGAGACTGGATGAGATCTCCTGGACAGGTGGAACTTCTTATGGGATTCAAGTCTAGGTAGGATCTTGGTAGATGGGAGAGGATTTTTCAAACCAAGTGTGATCAGAGGCATAGAAGTAGAGTACACTTCCAGAAGTGGTGAGAGTAAAGAACAGAATTGCAAACTGTGGAAGAATCTAGATGCCAGATGAATTGATCATGTTAATGGTGAAGATCTCCTGAAGGTTTTTTGAAGTCATGAGTACCGTGAGGAAAATGGAGTTTTAGGAATGCTGCACTGGTGATACATAGAAAAGAAAAGAGGTGAGAGGCAGCAGCATCAATTTAGCGACTGGCACAGTGATCCAGGATGAGAATTAGAGGGTTTAAGCAAGGCTGGAAGCAGCAGGAATGGAATCAAGTGGTGGGGAGACACTGGGAGGAAAGAACTACCAAGCCTGGTAGCTGATGCACACACACACGGGGAGGAATCAAATAAGAATAGGCAATGACCAGGCCTGTGGGAGAGAGAGATGTGCTGTTTGCAAGATCACAGCGAAGACTGTATCATTCTTTCCCCAGGCATGCAAAGAAGCGGCTGGAGGTGTCCTTCCTTCTCAGCCCCTTCAGGAAAGACTCTCACTCAGGCTTTTCTCTTACAGGAAAAAGATGTGACTCCAGATAGAAACCTACTGCCCAAGGTGCGAGACGCTGCCCTGTGGCTAGAGACCTTGTCAGACACCAGACCTGCCAAGCCTTCCCTCTCCACCACCTCCTCCGTTGCTGACTTCTTCCTGGCCTTGACCATCTGCAACTCTGTCATGGTGTCCACAACCACAGAGCCCAGGCAGAGGGTAAGGACTGGTGATGGTTGGGAGTGGGGTGGAGGAGAGGTAGGGAAGTACAAGGCAGGGTAGGGGCAAGGACAGAAGCCCTGATCAGGGAGACATGACACTTGGGTCCTGGCCACAGTGTCACTGTTTATCACCGTGAGACCTTGAACAGATGTCTTATCCTCTCTGGGTCTGTTTCCTCATTTTTAAATAAAATGGAAAAAAATTACACATGAACTCTCTGTGTAGCTTTCAAATTTTGTCTACCTGTCTGCAGGGTAGATATTAAGAGTTAATGTTTACTGAGCACTTGGCTATGTGCCAGGGTTTATGTCAAACATTTTACCTGCATTATCATTTAATCCTCACAACCCAACAACTCTAAGTGGTATGTCCTTGGATTTAACAAGTGAAGAAATGGTGGCCTCAGATAACTTGAGTAACTCGGTGAAGGATGGATGGTTAATGCATGACAGAGTCATCTGTATGACTCCAGAATGGCTCCTAGTAATATTACATCATACTGGTCTCTGCTGTTATGCAGCAGTTAAAAATAATTAATTCTGCATGTGATTTTCATCCCATGGAAATAATGCAGCAGGATGGTTATTTATGTAAAGTTATACTTTGAAATCTACTGAAGGTAGATTTCTCTTCAATTATCCACAACTCTCAGCCAAGCTCCCTTGTGACTCACTGATGAGAACAGTTAGGTGGTACAACTTGTGGCTACAAAACCCAGAAAAGAGGGTTCACCGAGGCACTAAGCCACAACGTCCCCTTATTATGCCCAGATTCCAAACCACCCTGAAAAGTCACCTCAGCCACTGAAAAGCCACTACATTACCAGAAATCTCCAGAAAGCTCTTGAAGGCAGAAAGCATTATTTGAAAAACTCACCCTATTTTTGAGAGGGGAAGAAGTGCCATTTGTGAAAGGGCAGTGTCCAACTCCCAATTTTCACATTAATGAGGGGGCATTAGCTGGAAGACAGCTTAAGAGTCCAGTCTCTGGAGTCAGGCAGACCCAGCTTTGAGTCCCAGCTCCACAACCTACACACTGGGTGACCATGGCCAACTTATTTAACCTCTGTGTGTCTCAGTTTTCTCACCCTTAAGTCGGGATAATGATAGTATCCCACAAAGTTGCCAGGAGAATGAAATGAGATACTGCACACAAAGATAAAGCAGATAGGATTATGGCAAGGGTTTGGGGGAATATGAGCTACCACGAGTATCTGATGTTTATCTCCTTTTCTTTCTTGTTTTACTATCGGAGTAGGATGATCAAAAGATAGAGGACAATGATCATAGCCAGACCTTAGAACGTCAGGGCTGGAAGGAAACATCTGACCTAACTCCCTCATTTTGTGGGTGGGTAAACTGAGGCCCATAGAGGAGAGGAGACATGCCCAAGATCACAGAAAGCCCACATAATCCACTGATACTTCGCATTCTGAATAAGATAACTTGATATTATTTCCAACACTGAGTAACGTTCTCCTTTCCTCCTTTAACCTCAAGGTCACCATCCCACCCTCAAACAAGGCTCTGGGGATGTCCTTAGAGAAGATTCAGCAGCTCTTCCAGAGGTTGAAGCTATCAAGCCTCAGCCAGTCATTCTCATCCACTGTGCCCTCTGACACAGACCTGGGGGAGAGTTTGGGGGCAAACATGCCCACCACAAACTCGGATGAGAGGGACGATGCATCTGTGTGCAGTGGCGGCTCCTCCACCGATGGTGGCTACAGGAGCAGCACGTGGGACCAGGGCAACATCCTGGGGTCTGGGTTGGGCACTTCCATGGAGGACATGCTGGAGGCCCCAGTGGCAGGCCTGGCCAGCCCTGAGCTCTGTTATGAGGCCGAGAGCCCTGACGAGGCAGCCCTGGTACATGCTGCCCATGCCTACAGCTTCACCCTGGTGTCCCGGACACCTGAGCAGGTGACTGTGCGCCTGCCCCAGGGCACCTGCCTCACCTTCAATGTCCTGTGCACTCTGGGCTTCGACTCTGTCAGGAAGAGAATGTCCGTGGTTGTGAGGCACCCACTGACTGATGAGATCATTGTCTACACCAAGGGAGCCGACTCGGTCATCATGGACCTGCTGGAAGACACAGCCTGTGGTGAGTCCTGCCTCACCAGGGCTCCAGAAACAGAGAGTTTCATAGTTCCAGAGGCAGTGTGGAGTGGGAATGAGGAGCTCAGGTGACAGCGTCACCTAGACCAGCAGGTCCCACCTGGAAACCAGGTCCCCAAGATGCTCTCCTCAAAGCAGGATCCTTAAGTCACACTGCATTTTACATTTAGTTGTCCTGGAGACTAGAGAGCTCATTAACATATTAAAGACTACATTTTTATAGCAGAGAAACCTCTTTAACTTTATTCCAGTTTCCAGTTTTCTAAACTCATCTAAATATGGATTATCTACACACATCTTTTTGCACCAGAGCATCCATTAACATACCCTAGAACACCTCATGGTCCTAACTCTTCACTTTGGAGAGAAAACAGCTCAACCCAGAAAGAGAAGTGACTTAGGAGAGGTGACACAGCTAACTAGTGGTAAATACCAGGCCCAGGTATCCTGCATCCCAGTTCAGAGCTCTTTTCATGCTGTCAGAATTCTGCACTGGGCTCAGCTCACTCTGGAAAGCCTCAGGTGTTCCTCTTCATCATCCCTTTCCCCAGCCTTCCCCAAGATGGATTTTCATAAATTTGCTCTGAGCCAGAAAAATGTTCCAAAGTCCCTACATATCCGTGTCCAATTTTGGAGCAGTATGAATTAGTATGCAGCCACTTCCTGATTGCTAACAAGGAGAAGACAGTTATGGGGCTGCGATTTTCCCAGGATAGTAGATTCTAGCCAAGCTTTAGAATTGCCCAGGCAGCCCGGTGCCTCCTGCATTATCAGCTGTGGATCAGAGCCAAGAGGTTCATGGAGATTGATTAGTGTTTAGAATAGGAAGGGAGCTAATTACTTCTCTTCATCCCCAGATTCTGGCAGACAAGTGAATTCAGTGCTTCTGAGTCAAGGGAGCCATGGCATTCTATCCCTGGGCATCACATATCCAAGCTGCCCCAGAGATGTTTTTTTTATTTGTTCCTCACCTGATTGGTGAGGCTTAGAGATGCTTCCCGTGAAAGACACATATACAGTGTTACTATAAAAGTTGAGAAGCAAAAATCTGAAAGACAGGGGGAAAATAACTCCAGGTTTAATATATTTATGGTGTTTGAACATTCAATTTGACTCCGAGGTTCCCAGCAGCCTGAGCAGAAAGGTAAACTCAAAGGCTCACAAGTGGAAGACAAAAGGGTTTCATCTCAGGAGATTGTGTCCTTGAAAATAAAATATTGTAAATCGTGCTCAATAAGAGAATGCATACATGAAGACTGCTTAAGGCACCAGGAAAATAGTAGCGCCTGAAAAAATGAGAACATAATCTTTGAAAGGATTTTTATGTTGTATAAAAACAGCATTAGAGTAGCATCATGGAAAAAAATCAGACCTTGGTTGGACATCCTTACTTATACTTATTTCACTGTTAAGAATTCCATTTTTAATCTTGGATTATATGGGTGACATGCGCAGTTTCTGTTCATTACTGAAACCTCTAAAAATTTCAGTGCAGCCTTGGTAATGGATTGTGAAGTCTTTTCCAAGTTAAGGTTTACAAAGTGCTGTGATTGACAAGTGCTATCTATGACAGCTTAGATAAAGGAAGTGGGGATGGCATCAATCCTGCCCCACGTCAGCAAACCCAGGCTTAAAAATTCTAATTATCTGATAGATAAAAGTACTGGAATTTCAGGAAAAAAAGACAAATTACTTCTGACAGAAACTTACTATGTAGAACTTCACAAAATGCACTTTAAGCAACACATTGAAGTATTTTTCATACTAGATTTATAGGAAATGCAAAAAATGTTCTTCTTAGATCATTTCTTATATGGAAAGAAAGCCTAACTCAGCAAACCCAATGCGGTGAAGAACTTAGCTAATGAGACCCAGGTTCGTAGCTGTCTTAGGACCTGTCTTGATGACAGAGAGGACGATGGATACCCTAAGACTTAGAGAACAGTTTCCAAAGTCAGTCGGCCATCCAGGCCTAAACTGGCTCTGTGGAAAACACCTTAGATAACAATAAAGATTCTGGTCTCCTGATCTAGCAGGGCTTTCGGGTGTTTGAGAACAATATCTTAGACCACCTACCTTCTTCAAATAGCACTTTTCTCAGCCAGGCTTTTGATGAGAAAATGTAGACAGCAGACAATTTAAGGACTCCTGGAGTTATCACCTTCCAGAGCAACCTGACAGCCAGGAGAGCTCTTCTGTGTTTCTAAGGTGGGCTGGAAGGGGATTCCTCCTCTAAAGCATTTGTAGTCAGCTGGGAATATCCCAGGGTGTTGTGGACAGGGATCCCTAATCATTTGTACATGACCTCATGGGAGATAATGATTATTTGACAGTGGCTGACATTGCTATGGAAAAGAAGCTGAAGAAAATCCGATCCCGAACCCAGAAACATCTAGACTTGTATGCAAGAGATGGTCTGCGCACACTGTGCATCGCCAAGAAGGTAAGAACACAGTCCTCCAAGCACGCCTTGAATATCGGCAAGTAGCTGGATGGCCTTAAATCTACTTCTGTCTTTTCTTTTTCTTTATAAAAGACCCTTAGTGTTGATTGTTTTAATATTTTCAAGATTAGCTGTTATGACTCACCACAAAACCCCATGATTTTGACAATTTTGCTGGAGCAGAAATCTGAATAGCAAGGTCGCATATCAGTGTGGCTTTGTCATTCCTACTTTTCATTGTATGTGTAATGGGTAACCCATAACTTATAAAATAATTTTTTTATTTAATTTTTATTGAATCAAAATTGATTATACATATTTGGGGGTTCAACATTGAGATATGTTGATCAAATCAATATTCCTAGCACATATATTGTTACAAATCATAATTATTCTTTATGCCCCTTGTCCAATCCCTCCCCATTCCTTTTTCCCTCCCCCCTCCCCCCTCTCCCCTCTAATTACCCTAGATTTCTTCTCTCCTTCTGAAAGAACAATGGTTACTCTGTTGATTTGCTGCCCAAATGATCTGTCCAATGCTGAGAGGCATGATCAGGTCCCTCAATACAATCATAGAGTAGATGCCTCTTCTGTCACTCTGAAACGGGCTCTGTGGGGAGAGACATCCTCCTTTCTTTATCTCTGCCAGTTACTCTTCTTGTGTCAGTGCACTCTTCCAGTGGCTGGTGGGCCATCTGCATGGTGGTTGTAGCATCTAGCTGCCTTTGTGGCAGCCATGGATATCGTGGTGGCTGTGGTGGGCCACCCACATGGAAGAGATGATTTTGGCATGCTACTTGGTGCTGGCAGTGTGCCTGGTTGTGGAGAGTGTCCAATCCCTGCCTCCATACCCTGAGTCCCCAGGTGGGCCCCAAGGCGCTGGTACAGTGAGCCTGGTTGCAGGAGGGGGGATCTGGTCCCTTTCTCCATGCCCCAGGACCCTAGGCAGGTCCCAAGGCACTGGCGAGGTGTGCCTGGTTGCGGGAGAGGGGTCCGGTCTCCTTCTCCATGCCGCAGGGCCCTGGGCCGGCCCCGAAGTGCTGGCACAGTGTGCCTGGTTATGGGAGGGGGGTCTGGTCCCCTTCTCCATGCCCCAGGTCCCTGGGCAGGCCCCAAGGCTCTGGCAAGATGTGCCTGGTTGCGGGAGGGGGGTCTGGTCCCCTTCTCCATGTCTTGGGCCACTGGGTGGGGCCCTGAGGCACTGTCATGGTGTGCCTGGGTCTGGGAAGGGGGTCTGGTCCCCAGCTGCTAGCTCCGGTTCCCCGGGCGAGACCTGAGGCATTGGTGGTGTGCCTGGATGTGGGAGTGGGATCTGGTCCCGGCTCTAATCCTCAGGTTCCTGGGCAGGGCCCCAAGATGCTGGTGGTGTGAGTGGTTGTGGGCAGGAGTCCCACCCCTGGCCTCATGCCTCATGTCCCGTGGTGGGCCACAAGGCATTGCTGGTGTGCCTGGGCCAGAACCAACTTTTTGTCCTATGCTTACTTCTAACACAGAGGTACTTCCTGTGGGAACCAGTACTTGAGCTGTGTGGTTGAGTAAATTGCTGCTTTGCTACTGTTTTCCCTAGGGAAGGCTCAAGGTTTAATGGTTGATGTTATAGGTCCTTCTGGCTCTCCAGGTACTCAGTGCACCTGGGTTGTGTAGAAACTCCAATCCGGGCTTGAGTCTTTTCATCAAACTGCACCCCGTGCAATTCTGCATTCCTGACCAGTCTCCTCTGAGTGGTCCTGCACTGATTGGGGGGCGGATCAGCTGTCCTTGCTGTGTCCCGGTGTTCTCCCAGTGGGCCTGTCACCCCCACCGCCCGTGCTCCAAACATTTCCCATGGGACGGGCCCTGTACCTGTTCCTTGGGATGACTCACCGGCTTCTGAACGGCTCCCCTTTCTCAGCTGTTCTGGCTCCTTGCTCCTGTGTGGGTCCACAGGAACCCTATCAGTGGTCTTGCTGTCCTGGGAGCCACCAAAGTCCTCTTCTCCCCTTCTGCCTCCAAGTGACTCCATCTAAAGGGCACAGCTGTGGCTTCTACCAGCTCCTGCTCCATGCGCTCCAGCATTAAAGCGGCCACATCCCGAAATGCTGAGAGCAGTTTTTTATTTCGCTCATTGTGGTTTCTCCCGCCTTCATGAGTGCCATAGGTCTCTCCTCTTCCCCTGAGCTCCAGCAGCCCCAGCTTGGCTGATGTTACATTTTTATAGTTGTAAATTCGTTGATTTGTGGGAGAGAGTGACACCGGGTCCCATCTATTCTGCCATCTTGACTGGAAACCTAAAATAATTTTTTAATGTTACAATTTTGCTTTCAAAATTTGCATTATTTGCCTAGGTTTAAAATTGGGGGGCTTTTATGTGATCAAATAAAAATCTAGACTTCTTGTTTTTCTTGAAAATTTAGAGAATCTGGCAAACTGGGTCTCCATTCTTGAATGGCAGCAATCCGCTACAACACATAGCAGCTGATTCTCCTGATGTGGGGTACATGCAGCTGTGTCCCACAGTTGGCCACAGTCCCTACCATTCCCTATTGATTGCCCTTGGCCCAGCTATAGTCAGGTAGATTACTCACCTCATGCTCTACAGATCTTTGACTTTGCAAACCCCTGCAAGAGAGGCAGGCAAAGAGCAGGGCCATCTAATGAGGCACCTAGAAGGGGGTGCTATGATGGGCATACATTTCTAGATAACTAGAAATGATTTCTCCTCCATAAATCCCCAGACTTTTCATCTCCTTTATGGTATTTAGTGCAGCATAGAGATTAAAAGCACCTACTTTTAAGCCAGATCTTCCTAGGTACAAGTCCCAATCTCACCACTTTTAAATGTGTGACCTGGAGCAAGTTTCTTTACCTCTCTGAGTTTTATCTGTAAAATGGTGCTAATGCTTCCTACCTTGTATAGTTGTCGTGAAGATTAACTAAGGTAACACATGTATGCAGCTCAGGGCAACAAATACTTACTACTGTATGGATTGTAATTATACCCTTACCACTTTATATTTTCTACTGAAATTATTTGTGTGTAGTTTGCCTCCCCAGATAGAATATGCATTCCTCAAAAGCAAAAGGCCTACCTGTGTCCCTTGGCCTTCTCTACAGTGCCATGCAGAAGCACTCAAGGAAATTTGTCACTTGGACAAAAGAATCATTCATTGCTCTTAAGAGACAGTATGCATGTAATGCCAAGAGAAGGGTCTAAAAGTGCTATGGGACTCTAAGATGTGGCCTCTAGTTGGATTCTGCCAGCTGTTGGGCACCTCCACGTGCACAACACCATGCCTGGTGGAGTGGTCCACAGGCTTTGTAAGACCTGACTGCTCCTTTCCTTTCCGGCCTTATTTCCGGCCCCTCCCCACACTGCCTTCCATGCTTCCACCAACTGACATAGTCAAGGAACAGAAAGAAGGCCAAGTTCACTGCTGTCTCACAGCCTTTGCACTTGCTCTTCCCATGGGTAACCCTTTCTTGTCACTGGATCTTGGCTTGCATGCCACCTTGTAGAAGAAACCTGAACATCCAACAAAAAGCATCCCCTCTGCCCCATTATCTGCCTACCCTGTTGCACCGTGTCATATCACCCTTTTTATTTTCTGCATAGCACTCCTTGAAATGATCTATTCTTTTAAATTATTTACTTGAATAATGTCTCCTGCCCTCCACTAGCACATAAGCCCAGGCATACAAGGACCTTGTCTTTCTTGATAATCTCCAGTGCTGAGCATAGTAGGGGCTCAACAAGTGTTTGTTGATAGTGGAACATGAGGATCAATCCTTCGTTGATTCATTCATTGAGAAAAAATATCATTGAGGAGAAAGCCCCATCTAATTACGTAGTGGAGTTCAAACAGGCCCATGGGAGGCCCGGAAGATGGGGAAGAGGGAAGGATTCCGCTTGCTGACCTACCCAAGGTTGTTAATGAGCCTCTTCCTGTCCCGTAGGTTGTAAGTGAAGAGGACTTCCAGAGATGGGCCAGTTTCAGATGTGAGGCCGAGGCATCCCTCGACAACCGAGATGAGCTTCTAATGGAGACAGCACAGCGTCTGGAGAATCAACTCACCTTACTCGGTAGTGAAAAATAAGTCATTGCACAAGAAAAGGAATGCAGCACGTTGTGGGAAGGGAGTTCTTGGCCCAGATTCTGAGAGTGCTACGAATATGTCCCAATAAGCAGCCTTCCCAGGGGTGCTCTTCCAGGTATTTGGCATAAATGTGCCATGCCAATACCCAACCCAGACTCCATACACAGCTTCCTGAGGATGCCCTGGGAACATTCCTGCACTTCCTGCTGGAAGAAGCCTATGAGCTAGCTCCTTCTCCAACAGCACACTCCTCTGTTCATGCAAATGTTTGCTGAGCACCTACTATGGGCCAAGTACTATGCCAGGCATTGGAGCTACAACAAGGTACAGGAGCCCCAGACTCTGCCCTCCCAGAGCTCAGAGTCTAGCAAGGACACTGGATGATTAAGCAAGTAATTTCAATAGAGTGTGATGAGAACTGGGCTGGAAGATGTACCAGGTGGGATGGAAACAAAAGTAGAAATGCCAACCTAGCCCCAGGGCCAGAGATGGCCTAGGGAGCCCTTTAACTAAAAGGGAGAATAGGTCAGACAAAGGGGCAGAGTGTTCCAGGCAGAAAGAGGACCAAAGGAAGGCCCAGAAGTGAGACCCTGGGCCAGCTGGAAACCCAGAGGTCTGCTGTAGCCGAACCGCAGAGTGTGGGGGAGAAATGAGGTGAGGCAAGAGAAATGATGAAGGGCTGTGTAAATCATATGCTAAAAGCCTGGAGAGGGAAAGGGGGTGAAAGCAGGGACAGATCTGTGCTTTACAAAAATTACTCTGGCTGCCGCCGTGTAGAAGTTAAGTTGGTTATGCCAAAGGAAAGTTGAGAAGCGCAGAGACTAGTCAAGAGACGGGTTGTATTTCTGTCAGAGGAAACGCATCACCAAGGGGAAGGGAGAGGCTTTAGTTATCAGGATTAATCTCTTCACACCTCAGGAGCAAGATCTAGGTAAGGCAATGCCTAAACAGCATGCACTGGCCCCACGTGGCAAAAAGCCTTCTTTCCTCTTGGTGGGCAATGCTGACCTGGAGATGAGGACCATGTCCCAGCCCTGGCATGGCCTAGCGCCCCTCCAGCTGCCCAGCCAGCAGGGGCCAAAGGGATAAGATGAGGATGGATTTCCATGTGAAAGGGAGCAGCAGCGCTTAGTAGGGAGGCTGGCAAGCAGAGAGAACTTTGCCCCCACCTCCTTCAGCCTTTTGTTTCCCGTGACTTGGCTGCTGCAGCCTTTGCCTGCTTCCTCCTTAGCTGGACACGAGGGCTCATTTTAACAAGAACCAAAGGGAGGCCAGGCCAGACAACTCTGTACCCCACATGAGGCCACCAGAAAGTAATCCCATCAGGGCGGCTGACCCCTTGTCGCCTCCGGAGGCTGCTTTTGTTTCTGCATGTCACTCTGGTCTCCACCGCTGAGAAGTGTTCATCCGCTGTTCTGCGTGGAAGAGAACACACTTGTCAGAACCTGTCGGCTCCCCTGGCTGGGAAAGGCTCTCACCGCCTTCCTGTTTCATTTTCTCTTTCACACAAATAAATGTGTTTTTCCTCCCCTTGCCTTCACTCTGCCTCACCATAATATAAATCAGATTGAGAATCTCACCTCCCAGGCTAACCCTGGGAGGGAAAGACGAGGCTCGAGCCATCACTTTTCATGGGGTTGTTTACCTGTGCGTTTGGACCTGAAATACAAAACAGGCACATTTCAGGATTAGAGAGGTTCTTTTTCTCCCCTTAAGGTGGCTTTGAAAGGAGAGGACCGGACTGAGAAGAGATTTCATCCTGCCACCAAGAAACTGGCATGCCGTTAAAAAGCCGCATTGCCTTCATGCTATCTCAAAATATGAAATGATCTTTTCAATATGCATCCAATGTAACTGCTTTGCCAACCTATTATCACTCCAGATTATTAAAAGAAACAAAATGCCTTGCTCTTGCCCGGAGTGAAATGTGTAGCCATTAGTCTGTGGTCTGAAATGAATCTCAATTTAAGTGCAGATTTATTTTTGCTTAATCACTTAGCAACTATTCAATATTTGGGTATATGTTAATCAGGGTTGGTGCAATGCTTGAGATCATTCAAAAATTATGGAATCTGCATGTTTAATTCCCTCCAAGGATATTAACAAAAACATGAGTCCCTATTAATTCTGCTGTGACCAGTTGCAGAGCAAATATTTCATCCTCTCCACTTTGCTCTATTCCTGTTGTCGCTGTGCTGGTGCAGGCCACCATCAGCTCTCTTCGACAATCCTGCTCAGCCTCCCTGAATCTCATTCTACTTCCTCCGATCTCCAATCCATTCTCTAGAATGACCTTCTTAAAGCTCAAAACTGATCCTGTCTCTCCAACTTAATGCCCTTGAATAGCTTTCTTTGCTAACAGATAAATTGCAAATTCCTTAAATAAATGAATTCAAATAACAAATTGCAACTCCTGACCAGGCTCTGCATGATCCAGCAGCCCTCACCCCACTCTGCCTCCCTTTCTGTGACTTCTTCTACTCTGACCTCTAGGCCTTCACACATGCTTATTCCTCCACCTGGAATTCTCCTCCTGCCCTACCTCTTTGCTTTAACTTCCAGGTCTGAGCTTAAATGACCCTTCCTCAGCAAGGCCCTCCCTGACACTCTAGGTGAAGTTTGGGTAACCTGGTATATTTTCACATGGCACCCTGACCTTCGCTCATGTATCTCAGGTATAAGTCTTTATCCAGTGACCTTTGAGCTCTGAGAAGGTAGAGACAAGCTCTGTCTAGTTTGCTGTTGTATCCCGGGTGCCTAGCACAGCCTGGCGCATGGGAGATTTCTAATAAACATTGCCTGGCTTCATAGGGCTTTGGGGAAATTAGACAGGCTGTTCTTGCACCATCAATGTGAGCTCTGGTGTCTTTGATTATTCCAGGGGCTACTGGGGTTGAAGATCGGCTGCAGGAAGGAGTTCCAGATACAATCGCTGCTCTGCGAGAGGCTGGGATCAAGCTCTGGGTCTTGACCGGAGATAAGCAGGAGACAGCAGTCAATATCGCCTATTCCTGCAGACTGTTAGATCAGACTGACACTGTTTACTCCATTATTACCGAGAGTCAGGTGAGGCCAAACTAGGGAACAGATGTCCAAGTACAGAGTGGCCCCTCGGCCAACAGGAGACAGACTCGTGAGTGGGATTTGAGTACACAGGGGTAGCACCCCTACCCCCAAATTACCACCAAATCTTGGAACTTGGAGGGCCCTGGAAATCATCCAGCCCAATATCCTCCACCTCATCTCCACACATGGTTGACTGGTCTCTTTTATATTACTTCTAGCTCTACTTATTAGAAAGTTCTGCCTCTCCCAAATTCCCCCCTTGGTCCAATGTTCCCATTTTACAGATGAGGAAACTGGAGACCCCTGGGGCTAAGTCACTCACCCAGGTTCACTCTGCTAGTTTCTGATAGACTGAACTAAGCCTAGAACTCTGTTCTCCTGCCAAGCTAGTGCTATTTACATTCTGCCACACTGCATACAGAAATTTGATTGTCAGTTTCTTACTATTTAAGATTAACTCGCCCATTGAAAAAGTCCCAATTAAATTGAAATTATTCTTAGTTTAAAATTTCAGCACCAATTTGTATGTCAAATTGGTCTGCCACAGAGTAGAAATCTGAAGATAATGATACATGAAGCCAGTATGTTTTGTGGGATGGAAGAGAGAAAAAAGAAGCAAAGTCCTAAAACTGCATTTTCAACCAGAACAGGTTGTAGGTGCATGGGGACTGAGGTTTGCAGACAGGGCTATGGGAAGTCTGAAGAAGCACATTCAAAACTATAATACGATTTTGTATTTAGGAGGAAAAATCTATTTTCACAATGCAAATTGCAGAAAATAAAATTCCACCATCTTCTTGGCTAATGATTATAAGAGGTGGGCATTGAGATGTATGCTCCTATCGGAAGGAAGCAGGGATTGGGTTCTATGGAGGATATTAACAAGGAAGCACCATGGTTTGGGGACAGTGGGCAGAGCACACCTGGAGACACAGGGCACACCATGGGGAGAAGGATGGAGAAGGGGGGAAAGACAAGGAAAATGAAAACAGCCAGAAAAGGAGGCAGGGAGGAAACTGGAATCTCTCACTTCTCTTTCAGTTTTACCTGAGGCTGATCTAGACCCAGAATAAAAGTTTGAGAAGGTTTATGTTTGGTTTTTATTCCATAAAGAGATCATATAAACATATTTAAAAATAAATGTAGTGTATGAAAATGTAGACTATGAAAAATGCCTGAGGCCCTTTAGATGAATTTTTAAAATCATTTACTTTCCTGTCAGTTGCACAGATTGTGCTATGATGACATTAAACCCCAATGAATTTTCAAAATGAAGACAGTCTTGGGGAAAACGTGGGCTTTAATATTATGCTTAGGAAAGAAAGTAATTTACAGCTTGGTTGACTGTTTGGCCCCTGTAATAGCACTGATGCCTGCCCATCCGGCTGGCAATGGAAATTCAGTTTGCAACGATTCTTTCACTCCAGGTAATTCTGGAAGGAAGACATCTGCAAACCTGTGAGGCAGCCTGCCCAAAGGGGATGGAGTGGGTTTCTGTGGGTTCTGTTAAATGCAATGCATTCCTGTAGCAAGCAGAAGATGTCTGTCAATTGACTAGCCAAAGTTACTCAGGAATACCCTTCTTAATTCAGTTGCTGTTGATTCTTTTAAACCTGTTCAGGACCCTCCAAGACAGTGCCTGAATCTTTGGCTGGCCCTACCTACGCCCGTGGGCCCACTAAACCTGTAAGATTAGTCTTTCTCATCCCCTTGCCTGGAAATAAGTAGTAGGTGCATAAATATGTTAAGCCAGAAATAAGGGAAATACATTCTAAACCTTAGATTTATGTAAACCCCAGTTTAATGAAAATACATATTCAGTGGATATTTCCTCCAAGGGCTTTAATTGGTCTAATTCACCATAAATTGATTTAAGGCTACTGTCTCTTTGTTATATATCTTAAAGCAATAAGCAAGTTATGAGACCTATCTTGACCTCAGTGTGCTCATCCATAAGATGAAGTAATTACTAACCCAACACTGGAAGTGTTGATCTGTTAAGGAATTTTAAAAGGTGTTGCTTTGCCCCCACAGATTTGTCACCCCACTTCCCCTGGGTGATGGAGCTGCAAAGGATTACTCAAAGCCCATCTCTTCTGAGTAGTGAGAAATCCCGAAGTGGTTAACTTCTCTGGAACCCTCAAGCGAGAGGCACTCCTTCCTTGTGAAATTAACCACAAATTGGGGTTCTCCTCCTGCATTTATTCTCCAGACCAGGAAGTAACAGGAAGAGACATAGGTGGGGGTTTTGCTAAGCACTGTTTAACAAGTTTAACAATAGAAGCTAGTAACATTCAGTAAAAACAAGTCAGATGACATTCCCTTAGACAATTAAGTGATCAACCAACAAAAGCTTGATCTAGCAAACATTCCTTCTCCCTCCAGCAGCTTCCCAGTAACTTTACATACCAATCAGTAACTAATCTGTCTTTGAGCCAGCAACCTTGCTGTGTTACAAATCTTTGTCTTACACCAGAGACTTTATAGCCTGAGGAAAATTTCTTGTCCTTTGCAAGGTCAATATTTGAAACTGCAAGGCTTTGGAAAACCAGACCCTGTGAAGTACATTTGCTTTATGAATCCTCTACAAAAAGGGACTAACATATTAGATAGGAACTAAGAACAATCACTATCATTGTTATTTTTAACAACATATATTGAAGGCTTGATATGGTTCAGATACTGTACTTTTTGAAATTCATTCTACTCATCTATAAAATAGGGATTAAAATTTTTTACTTCAAAGACTACTGGGAAAATTAAAATCATAGAAGAAAAGTACATACTTAACACAGTACCTGTGTTAGTAATCTATTGCTGCATAACAAATTACCCCAAAGCTTAGCAGCTGAAACAGTAGACATTTATCATCCCATAATTTCTTTGGTTAGGAGTTCAAGAGCATCTTAGCTGGGTGCCTCTGGTTCAAGGTCTTTGTTGAGGCTGTAGTCAAACTGTCAGTCAGGGCTGTGGGCTCATCTGAAGGCTCAACTAAGTGGGTGGTTTGGGGGTGGGAAGGAATCCTGCTTCCAAGTTTACCTACACAATCATTGGCAGCCCTCAGTTCCTCACCCTGTGGGCTGCTACACAACATGACAACTGGTTTCCCCCAGGACAAGCGATCCAGGGGAGAGTAAGAAAAGCTCCAGATTCAAGCCACAGTCTTTATAACCAAATCTGGGAAGTGACATCCCATTACTCTGTGGAATTCTCTTTATCAGAAAGGAGTCACTAGATCTAGCCCACACTTAATGGAAGGAGGTTACACGAGGGAATGAATACCAGGAAGTGGAGATCATTGGGAACCATCTTAGAGGCTGCCTACCACAGTACCTGACATATACCAAGTGTTCAATGAATGGTAGCTATTGTGATTATCACCTAAAAAAGTTGGAATTAAGTAAATTCAGAGGTTTAAATTTGAGGTTTACATTCCCCATGACTTGCCATAGTTATATATCAGAGGAATTTATATAGTTGGCTCAACCCTGACTTCCAGCAAGGACCACCTTAATCTCTTTCCTAGACAAGTGCCTCTGGTATAACCACTGGCTCCTGGAACCACTTTCTGTGGCCCCTCTGTGCACATCAACTCAATTTAGCATACCCTAAAGGAAGACTCAGGAATAATAAACTAAGGCTCTATTGACTTCCAAAGAAATTATTCCAAATGTTCTCAGACTGAAATCACTAGATTAATGTACCCCAAACCTGTCACTTCAGAACTACCTTTACGATTTTTGCCAAAATCCACAGATGATCTGTACTGTTTTTAACTTAATGATTTTATTTAAATTGACTCACACTGAACACTTTTTCAGAAGAAATTTTTAGCTCCTCAATAAAGGAAAAATTATCATTCCTTACCATGGATAAAAGAACACTGTAAAATCAAGACCATATGAATAAGAATAAGCCAGTGCTGTTAACATTGATAATACTGTTGTTTGCCACAACATTCTTCTCTGTCTTTATTAAAAAGTAATGTTTACAGAAGTTAGAGATATTAATATAATTAGAACCAAAATCTGACTTTATCTTTGATGTAACCAAAACTAAATGGAAGAGAATCAATAAAATGAAATAACTTCCTCGCTATGTTTCAAGGTAAACACCAGAAAAAATCAATAAGGAGTTTCTTTTAATTAATAAGACTTTCACATTCATCATCAGTTTGAACCAATATGACCAACACATAGTTCTTAGTACCAACCAGGGGACAGAACGTCAAATAAACACAGGGCCAATGTATTTTTCTTTATTTAGGAAGCCACAGTTCAAGCAGTAATCCTTACTCCACTGCTAAGTTTGCACGACCTTGGGTGAGTTACTAAAGATCTCGTTGTTTCAATTTCCTCATCTAAATTAAGGTTGGTAAGGGCCGGCCCGGTGGTGCACTGCTACAGTGCGCCGCTTGGGAGCTCGGCAGTGCTCCCGCCGAGGGTTCGGATCCCACATACAGACCGGCCACTCGCTGGCTGAGCGAGGTGCGGGCGCAACACCGAGGGTTGCCATCCCGTTGCCGGTCCCGGTCCGGTACGGCCGTGACACTGAGGGTTGCAATCGGTTGCTGGTCACGAAAAAAGACAAAAAGGAAAAAATAAATAAAATAAATTAAGGTTGGTAATACACACCTTATTAGTAGGAAGGGATGTTCTGAGGAACGAAAGAGAACTGAAATGACCTGCGAGAAATAGAAAGCACCATACCAGCATGACATATCGTCATTATTTACCACCATATTGGTAGTATTTATTATCTTCCACCGTCCTTGTGTCAGTCACCATCTTGCTGAGCTATTTCCACTCCCATTCCCAAGCAGTGTCTCCTATTTGGGGCATTAGTTTGGTTCCAAATTAATATTGCTTTGATGCCATTTCAAATACTGCAGAGAGATGTAAAACTTGGGGAATAATTCCTAAGGAATCTCTATGGTAGTAGAGTTTTGTAATTATCTTACTAAAGAATAAAGTGAAATTTTCAGCATACATTTCCAAGTTTGCTTACTAATGCTGTATTATTATGACTCTGTAGGAAACCTGTGAGTCCATCCTCAACTGTGCATTGGAAGAGGTAAAGCAGTTCCATAAACCACAGAAGCCAGACCGCACGTTCTTTGGGTTCCGCCTACCTACCAAGACACCATTCACTACCTCAGGAGCTACAACTCCAGAAGTTGGACTGGTCATCAATGGGAAGACATTGAATGCCATTATCCAGGGAAAGCTCGAGAATAAGTTTCTGGAGTTGACCCAGTACTGCCGTTCTGTCCTATGCTGCCTCTCCACGCCACTCCAGAAGAGTATGACCGTCAAGCTGGTGCGAGACAAGTTGAAAGTCATGACCCTTTCCATAGGTACCCGTCATGCTGAGGTGCGGGTGGCCGCTGGGCAGGGATGATCAAAGATGAGATGTAAGCTTAGGCTAAGGGTCATTGTCTTAGAGGGAGGGAGTTCAAAATGACCCTCGAGATGTGGCAACTAGGAGCTGAAGCATAGGCTAACTGCAGTGGGAGAGTGAATCAAGTTCTTGGAACTAGCAAGTCAGCTAAAGAAAAATCAGGATTTAAATGGAAGTTCAAACCGCAGGGAACTTGAATTCAATTCAGAACATCCAGGTAGCTCGAGAAATGTTACCACCACCAAGACACACTCAAGCCACATCAATTCTGGGATGCAGATTATTCCCTCTTCATACTTTACACATGGCACAACCTCAGGTGTTTATAGATTTGATATTGTTCTGAGTTGTAAAAATTGTGTTAAAAATTGGGACTGTCTCATGTTTAAGTTTGTGTATTCATTCCTAAGTACAAGGCCAGCATAAAGCACATCCTCAATAAATGCTGGCTAGTTGGATGATGAAGAATTACTCAGAGGAGACTAAGCTTTAATCACATTGAGGCAGAGAAATAAAAATGGTATTTACTTAGCACCTTTCCAGAACAACCAAACCTTGTGTACAAGAATCTTCGTGATCTGGTCTCCAATAACCCTCCAGCCACATCTCTTATCATGGCCACCTTTCTCTCCCCAGTAGTTGGCTGTCCATGTTCCAAACAAATGAAAGTACTTAGCATTCTCCATAGGTACTGACTTCTCTCACTTCCAGGACTTTGAAAAGTTATTTCCTCTGTAAAGAATTCCTTCTTCCAATCCCATCTATCTTTGCTTTCCACTAGGGGCTCCCACAGCACCCAATACTCATAGCTCTGTTATACCTTCTATGCGGCCTCCTTAGTAGAGTTCCTTCAGTAGAGGGACTATGTTGGCCTTATTCACTGATTGATCCCACCACATACTAAGCACATAGTAAATATTGCATTCACTTAGGGACATTCTTACAGATGGTGCCAGCCTCTTTTCCTCCTACACAGGCATGGAAAGAGATCTTCTTTCCTGGCATTTCAAACAAGAGGCCTATTAAACATTAAGGGCTTTTTCCTGCTCTTCAGGTAGAAGTAGTTCAGAACAACAACAACAAAAAAAGACCAGAAAGAATAAGGGGAGCAGACCTTTAACAACTGCATCCTACTTTTATAACCTGAATTGTCCTCTTCAGAAATTCAGACACACACAAAGCAATAGCCCAGGACTGATTCCCTCAGGCCGGAGAGTGGCTTCACTCCCATAGCAACAGAAACAAAACCAGTGGGGCGAGAAATAGCATGGTTTCACACCCTACTTCTGGTTCACTAACAGAAGAGGTTAAAAGTTAGATGTGTTCTGCCTTGGGGAAGATTGAAATTATGCACTTCCATGCTATCAAGAAAAAAAGTAATCATTATAAGAACAAAGACTACCTATAATCAAAATATTTAAGATCAATAAATCTGTTGCCAAATAATTAGGGGAAGAATTATTTTTTCTTTCCCCCAATTTTAATATTCTCCATGATGAGTAATATAAATTTAATCACAGCATATTCTGAGAAGCTACTGGAAAAAGAGAGGGAGCCAGGAAGAAAATGAAGGCAATATAATTTACAACATGGGTTGGCAAGCTATGGCCTGTAGGCTGAAGCCAGCCCACTCCATTTTTTTGTACGGATGTTAAGGCTGGCTTTATGTATTTAAATATAAAATTTATAAAAAGACTACAGCCTTTTATCAAAAACAATTGTTCAATTTTGCTTCTAGGCTCACAGAGCCAAAAAAATTTACTATCTGACCCTTGACAGAAAAAAGCTAAAGTATCAGAAAGAGTCAGGCTTCTGGGGAAGGCCTCACTCTATAGCTGTGTTTGGAACTGCATATAGAGCTGTATGCAACTACTTAAATATAATTAAAATTAAATAGAACTTCACCAGCCACATTTCAATAGCCACAGGTGGCTGGTGGTTTCTGTATTGGACAGTACAGATACAGAACATTTTCATCATCACAGAAAGATCTACTTGACAGTCCTTGTACAGAGGGAGGCCATGCCTGTGTGTGCATACATGTATGTGTGTGGGTTTGTGTATGTGTATTTCTATGACTTGACCTCCAGTTTCCTAAAACAACTCAGTTCATTGAAAGGGAAATCAACATGACTAAATGTTGCTCAACAAAAAAAATTAGTCCATCTCATCTTCCTATATTCAGAAACAAAACTGAATGCTGCCCCTCTCCTTGAACATCATTGACAATATCTGATGATTTGGCTGCCCAAACATTCAGTTGTCTTGATGTGATCAGTATTTCAAGTTAGACTGAGTTGGGGAAGCATATTGGCCCGGGAAAGATCTGAGTTCCAATATTCGTGGGCCCCTTCACTAGCTGGATTACCCTTGATAAGTCCCTAAGTTGCTCAGATTTCCCATTTGCTCATCAGTAAGTCCGTTGTAACATCTGTGAAGGCCTTTTGTACAAACTGTAAAGCACTGCCCAATCTCTCTTGGTCACCATTGTATCCCCTATATCTAACATTGTGCTTAGAAAAAAAAGACATTTAAGTATTTGCTGAATGATAAAGAAAAAAGTAGGGCTTCTCGTCCAAGAAGAAAAGACATCTCTCAGGCCAAATACTGTAGCAATAACTTTCTATAGGACTATTCAGAGCAAGGCTAAAAGGATCCAATTATGTACAAATAGGGACACTTTAGAGCCATCTCATTGTCACTGAGCAGTGGGACCAGGAATAAAGACATCTCATGACTTCTCTTCTTTCAGGTGATGGAGCAAATGACGTAAGCATGATTCAAGCTGCTGATGTTGGAATTGGAATATCTGGACAGGAAGGCATGCAGGTATTATTTCCTTCAACCATTCTGCTTTCTTCTTTACTCTCCTTTATCCTTACTGGAGATTTAAGGAATTTTCCACAGTGGGAGGAACTTCTCCCTGGGAACTTTGCAGAATTACCAACTGAAAGTCAGGGGTCTTGTATGCTTATACGTGACTTCCATCACCATATGCCTACTGCCCAGCCCTTTGAAAACAGGGAGATCAAAGGATGCTTGGCTTTTTATAGACAGCCAGTAATATCTGTATCCTAAAGGCAAATAGCACCCAACCATTCAGGGAGATACAAGCCTTCCTCTACCACCACGTTTCCTCCCTGTATCCTCCACCCACATCCAAAATAGCAATGCCCTCCATAAGCAATGACAAACATAAAGACATTTGAAAACACTTTTTGATTGCCATTTTAGTCTTTATGTCTAGACTGACCTATAAAATGCTTGGTACACTTTCATGGTGTACCTAATTTAATTTCGCCTTGGAACGAGCATACTAACTTGAGATGCTAAATTTTCCCATTTAAACAGACCCCATTTTGTGGATTTTGAACCAATAGCAATTGTATTTACAACCACCAGTGCAGATGTTTGGCATTGCTTAAATTTGCTGAAGAGAATGAAAGTACATTGACGAAAAGCCACAGAATATCTGAGTGTTACCCTTCAATTATCTATCACATGCAAGCACTCTGTCAGGAACTTCACATTTATTATCTTGTTTTATTTTAATCATCACCACAACCCTGTATGTTAGGGGTTGTTGTTCCATTTTTTCAATTGGGGAAACTGAGGCTCGGGGAGTTTAAATAGCCTGACCAAGATTCACACCAGGATTTATAACGAGGTATGGCCAAACCTCATACTCTTAAAAGAGTAGTGTAAACTGTGTCTTGTTCTAAGTATCCCAAGGGCAGAAGATACATTTCAGCTCCACATAAGGAAAGAGCTAGCCAACCATCAGCTTCCTCTATGAATGGAACCAGTGGATGCCTCAGGAGGTGGTGAAGGACATTTAAAGGTTTAAGAATTAGTTGAATGGAAGTCCCTACTCTCTGGTTAACCATCACATCCCTGGCATGGTGCCTGATACATACTGGGCCACAATAAATGCTTGTTGCATAAATGGATGGAGATGAAGGGCCAGACGAGAACACTGGTCCCTTCTTGTCTGCCCTTCTTGGATTCTAGTGAGGTTTGGATTTCCCAGTAGACAGAATGGGGTGTCAGGGTCCAAAGAGCCACCTGAGTGACCACATAGGACAAGGGGACTTTCAGACCCTGCCAGCTACAGACCTACAACAAAGCATCATCATCGAGGGAGCCTCTTTTTCTTTTCCAGCATATATTTCTTTATTTTATTGATTATGCATATTCATGGGGCACAAAGATGACCATCACCACCTGTGAGTTGGCAAAAAGTCTACAAGAAGTGATGATCATATCAATACTATCAGCATGCCCATTACCACAAACTGCAATTATTCCCCACGTCCCCCATCCAACCTCTCCCCAACCTCTCTCCCCCTCCACCCTTCTACCCCTGATAACCCTTGGTCTGTTCTCTACCTCTACAAGTCCAACACACCACTGAGGTCTTTCTTTCCTTCTTGCTCTCTTATCTTCCACTTACGCATGAGAATATGTGGTATTTTTTCCTCTGTGCCTGGCTTATTTCACTTAACATAATTTTCTCCAAGCTCATCCATGTTGCTGTGAATGGCAAAATTTCACTCTTTTTTATATCTAAGTAGCATTCCATTATGTATATATACCACATTTTCCTTACCCAGTCATCTGTTGATGGACAGCTAAGTTGGTTCCATATCTTAGCTATTGTATAATAGAGCTACAATGAACATGGGAGTGCACATATCCCTACAACATGATGATTTCCATTCATTTGGGTATATACCCAGAAGTGGGATTGCTGGATCGTATGGTAGATCTATCTGTAGTTGTTTAAGAAAGCTCCACACTGTTTTCCATAGTGGATGTGCTAATATACAGTCCCACCAGCAGTGTAGAAGAACAACAGTATAGAAGTCCCCCTTCTCCACATCCTCGCCAGCATTTGTTATTCTCAGTCTTACAGCCAGTCTAACTGGGGTAAGATGATATCTCAGTGTGGTTTTAATTTGCATTTCCCTGATAATTAGTGATGTTGAGCATTTTTTCATGTACCTGTTGGCCATTTGAATGTCTTCCTTTGAAAAATGACTATTCAGCTCCTTTACCCATTCTTTAATTGGATTATTTGGTTTTTTACTGTGTGGTTTTTTCAGTTCTATGTATATTCTGGATATTAATCCCTTGTCAGATGTATAGTTTGCAAATATTTTCTCCCTTTCTGTAGGTTGTCTTTCCACTCTGACGATTATTTCCTTTGCTGTGCAGAAGCTTTTTAGTTTGATATAATCCCATTTATTCATTTTTTTCTTTTGTTCCTTGTGCTTTGGGGCTCTTACTCACAGTCTTTGCCCAGTCCTACTTCCTGAAGTGTTTCCCCTGTGTTTTCCTTTAGTAGGTTTATAGTTTCAGGTCTTATACTTAAGTCTTTAATGCATTTTGAGTTGATTTTGGTATACGGTGAGAGGTGCAGGTCTAGTTTCATTTTTCTGCATATGGATGTCCAGTTTTCCCAGAACCATTTATTGAAAAGGCAGCCTTTTCCCCAATGTATGTGCTTGTTGCCTTTGTCAAAGATCAGTTGGTTGCTCTTTGGGGCATTGATGGCCATGGATGGGAGCTGATATCTCCGTTCTCCTCTCTCAGGCTGTCATGTCCAGCGACTTTGCCATCTCCCGCTTCAGACACCTCAAGAAGCTGCTGCTTGTGCATGGCCACTGGTGTTACTCCCGCCTGGCCAGGATGGTGGTGTACTCCTTCTACAAGAATGTGGTGAGTAGCCCCGTGGTGACCTCCCACCCAGGCTTGCAAGTCCTCGCTGCAGGGCCACCAGATCTCCCCACAGCGGTGGACACTGCATCTCAGCATAAGGGAATGTATCGGGCTGACATGGATTTTGTAGCCTAAAACTGCCCCTTAGTAGCTCTCTGATCTTGAGCAAGACTGTTCACCTCTCTGGACCTCAATTTTCTCCTTGGTAAAATAGGACTAATACTTTCTATTTCTGTGAAGTTATTATAAAAATTGGCAATATTGTACAGAAGGCACCTGGCACATAGTGGGCAGCATGAATGGCTATGAGCATAGACTCTGGAATCAGACACACTGGGTTCAAATCCAGACTCCTATATTTAGTAATGTCCCTAAACTTCAGTTTCATCATCTGTAAAAGGAGGTGGTAATACTTTTCTAAAATATTTGTGTTAACCTAAAGGAAGAAACTGAGGTAAAAATATATAAAACAAAGAGTTTATTTGGGCCAAGGTTGAGGACTGCAGCCCAGATAATATAAACCCAAGTTGCCTTTGATATGTGCTCCCCTGTGTAGCAGTTGTAAACAGTTTTTTAAGGGAGAAAAGAAGTTAGGGGACAGTTTCAAAATTGCCAAGACTTTATGCTGGTTCACTGAAATAACATGAGCTACTGGCTGGCTACACATTGCTCATTACATCGCAGCTTTTATGAATCTGCAACAAAAAAAGTATGCGGGTCACATTGTACAGCCAGTGATGACATTTGGGTAATCTATACCCATTGGTAGTGGCAGCTAGCCTAGAAACTGTTGCCACAAAGTGTCTTTTAGCAATTATTCTGGACATGGGTGAGAGAGATGTGACTAAAACTCCATGCTCCTATTTCCCTGGGCCCAATAAGTTCAGCAGACCTCACATTTCTTAGATTGTTCTGAGCTACTTTCTTTCTCATTTGCTATAAAGATGAAATGAGAGCTTGTATAGAAAGCGAGTGGCATGTAGTAACTACTCTAGAAAGTTATCCATTATTTTTTATTATATTGTCGTTGCTGTCCTTACTCTTAGAGTTAAACCTCATAAGTGAGATTTATTTTCTGATTGCAAGGAGGAAGGTGCAGGTTCCTCACAGAATGCGAGACTGAAGCCCATGGCTTCATCAGAGACCTGCACATTACTTCCTCACCACCAGTCTTCCTTACAGGGAGTTCCTGGAGATCATCTGGGCTGTAATCTTGCCTCCCTCTAGCATGCTGTGTGACCTTGGAAAGGTCTCTTAACCTCTCTGAGCCTCAGTTTCCTCATCAATAATGTGTGGAGACTATGACTTTCTCCATCCCTAGAAGTATTATTAAGAGGCTTTATTGTCAGAGCTTTGGAAGGCACACAGCACTATACAAGCACAAACAATGTTATGAAGATAATGTTGGGTCTCCTAAAAAAATATGTTGGTTTCTGTCTCAGTGATAAAGGCCCAAGGTAAACTCACAGCAGCTGAGGTTCTAAAACAGTCAGAGGGTCTTGTTTGAAAGCCCTTGATTAACAATGGGTATAGGGGGCCGGCCCGGTGGCGCACTGGATAGTGCGCCGCTTGGGAAGCGTGGCGGCGCTCCCGCCTGAGGGTTCGGATCCCACATACGGACCGGTTCCCGCTCACTGGCTGAGCGAGGCGCAGGAGCAACGCCGAGGGTTGCAATCCCGTTGCCGGTCCCCGGTCCGGTCCGGGGGCAACACTGAGGGTTGCGATCCGTTGCC